GACAATGCGATCACATTGAAGCGGCTACGAACGCCTCCGAAATTTGTTGTGGACCAGACAACTTGACAAATTATTTATGAATAATTGCTATTGTTTTAGAATGAATAATTAAAACAATTATTGAACCTGTTTAATGTAAAGCTTTTGTATTATTCAAAATTTATTGTTAACCAATTCCTGCGATGATTTTGAACTTCCAACAACGTTCAAAACCAATATCATGGTTACTTCGACAATCTACTAAATATTTGTTTAAATTAAATGATTTGTTAGTGAAACAAGAAAACGGTGTAACTTATTGATTCCCAACTGTTTTATTTTTGGGTCAATTTAACATTTCTAAAAAATTGAAGCTCCTTTTTTAAGAAAGGTATGATCCTTCTATAATCCAGATTTGCCACATTGGGAAGCACAAATGTAATCCTTTGATTCGGATAGACTCGTATTATTTAAAATTAATTATTATAGAAACAGCAATTTATTTAATAATAATAGAATAATAGAATAGCAATAATAGAGTATTTCTAGTTCTAAATTTTTTGCTTTCTGAAGAAATATCGACATATCAAATCATCAGCGTTATCAAAACTGGCCATTTAAAATTACTTGTTCAGCAAATATTTCTAGAATTCAATACTGAATCATATCAATTCACCATACTGAGAAGCACCAACATCTTACATGTTTGCATTTGCATTATTATAAATATATGTCAGAGTAATCATCAAATTATCAAGAAAAATAGACGCTGTTTAAATTATAGCGCGTCCATAAATGCTTCCTTCCACTAAACAGGTTATATAATCGACTACTTCTATTCAAATAACAATGTAAGTTTAAGTCATGCAGTAACACAATTGTAATACATATGTTATCAGATTTTATTACTCATCCTATTAACATATTTGTGAATTATTTTCCTTAAAGTGGCATAAAATGTTACGGTGTATGATTTTTTACCAAGTATTTGTATATGACTGGCAATAACGCGGAAAATGTGAATTAATCATACTAGTAGTCTGTGTTTTTTCGACTTTAATTGATTTTTGTTTCAATTATTTAATTTATTTAGAACAGAATAGTCAGATATTAATAGTATGAATTATCTTTGGTTCAGTATTGAATGCTGATTTTATGCTCTTCAGTATTGGCAAAGTGCATACCTGATAAACTTTAGATAATTTGATTTATTTTCTTAAAGGAGTAATATAATAATTCATTAATTTTATGCGATTTTTGGAAGGCTGTAAAAGGGCAAACAATGTTTCTGCTTTATAGAAGTAGGAGGTCTCAAAAGGGCACCTCATTTATACCAATGATTTAGACCACCAAATAATCTCAAGAAAAAAATATGTATAATTACTGATCTAGAATAATGTCGCTATCGTATTAATTACGGATAAGTAAAAAATTGACACAAAAATAGCAATTGTCTAATGAAAAAATATTTGTTTACAAGTTTTTCTGATATTCTAGATTTTTTTGAAAATAGTAAAAATCGGAATTAAGGGATGCACTTAGTTCATACTGAAGAAAAAAGAAGTCTATAAAGAAGCCTCTGGAAAATTTTCAGATGACTCGTAGGTGGAGTATCAAAAAAGTTTTGAGAAAAACGCGTTTGAAGTTTTGCAAAGAAAGCAAACAATGAATGATTATCGTGGTCAAACAGAAGTGTATCTGTAATTTATTTTGAAAAAATCCTTTTGAACACATATTATTGAATAGTTGAACTTTGAAAGTATAAAAAAAAATTATTTTTAGCTAGAAAACTCTCTTAATATTATCGTTCGATTTCTACATCACTGAAATTATAATGTAAGCAAGAAAATGTATGAATCTTAATTTAAAAAAATATGGTTAGTGCAAAATTATACTCTATGTATTATGACTCAATCGTCATAGTGATGATCTTATTGACATGACCAGTAAGATTTCATCAGTTAACCATATAACTGAATCGTTCCTTAATTACAATTAATTCCGTCTGCACTTAATGATGTAATCAGTAATTTACGCTGATGTTTAAAAAATAAGAATCGCTTCTATGAGTGAGCATCCGTATTGAAACCTTCAAAGTATAATTCTTCCAAGGCGAAGGTCGATTATTTTGTGTTTTGATTGAGATATCCGTGTGATTTTTTTCAAGTGAAATTATACTTTTTATGACCCCTCATCGCGAATTTAATGACTAATATTCTAGGAAAAAATATAAGGCAACGGAATTTAAAAAATAATGAACTAATTCAAGGTGTTTTGTATAATTTCGTATTGGTCTTGTGAACTATTGTTTGTGATTATTATGGACATTTTTATTTTATCTATCGCGACAAAAATATTATATAAGTGTTTTATAAGATTAATAAATACGAATTTAATTACAGATTTAAGAGATATTTTTATATAATCTTATAATCGTTTACATGCGGGTGGGGAAAAACTGAATCTTTACCCTGGCAAGGCGTTGATAATAAAAAAATAGTAAATAAAAACGTAAATTCAATTAAAAAAATTGTACAAAAAATAAATCAAAATAATAATTATTGCTAAATAATATTATTATGTAAAATCCCCTCAAAATTAATAATAAGACATTGGATCAGTTTCATACTTGGCTGCCCCATTTCACCCCGACTATGGAGTAAAAAGTGCGAGGTCACCAACTTTTGAAAATTTGAATAAAAATCTACAATGATGAACTAGCTGGGAGATTTACTGAACGTAGTCAGCTAGTTATTTGTTTGAAATATGGTATTTGTTGCGATAAAATTGGTCTGGTTTTCAGAATATAATTCCTCAAAGTCAAATTAGACCTTTGCGCCTCGCCTCTGACCGTCAACTGACCATTAACATTTCATTTGAAACTGAAAATCAAACTAATCAAATTTATTAGATCTTAACTCATAACATATTGGTATAATGTATTTAAGTTAAATTCCAATATAGAACGTAATAATTTTTTAATTTAAAAATAAGTACTGCAACTTAACATCATTTTCTTCTATAAATAATTCTAATTATTTTCATGCACGACAATACTGGTATAAATCGCGAAGGTCATCATAAAATCTAATGCAGGAAGGCAAATCATTAAACGAATTATGTATATCCTGCAAATAATAAGACAATAAATTATCTAAACAAAAAGTTTACAATATGAAAAATGGTAACTGACGTTTGTACACCTTCAGGGTTATTTACTGCTCTTTAACTGTCACATAACTTCCGTTATTCTTTGTAATATCGCTGTTTCTCAAGATATATTTTTATTTATGACATTTTAATTACTCCAGAATTTATAATAGATGTATAGAAAATAGCAACAATATAAAACGTTTATCCTTCCTGGACATCCTATCACTGAAATGGCATTCGATTTAGACATTTTTTAAGTACGACCAAAAATTTGGTAACGTTCAGAATGGAATAGGTGCAAATAGTAAAAACAAATTTAAAAAACTTAAAATATTGTGCTTGTGATTAAATTGTTAAAAAAATATTTTTATTTACTATTTTGGAAGTACCTAGATGCAAATGAAGCAACAGATAAAATTTTCTTTTAAAATGCGCATAAGTTTTTAAAAATCTTAGTTTTATACCATTTTTGCCCTACAGAATAATTTTACTCATGTAGTTGTTATAACTAAATAAGCTTCTATCTACGTTGATAAGAATTAAGAAAAAAATTATATGATTAAGTAGAATAAGAGTTGAATAATCGATAAAAATTGATTATAATTTCAATAGAAAATCTTGTTTCAAATAACCAACTTGCATTCGTAAAATCTACAAATTTAGTAATTCAATAATAATTTTTAGCTTTAGAACCATATAATTTAATAGATACAAACTAAAGAGTTATGTAAAGCTGACTAATAAAAATGATAATAGGTACTTTATATTTTTTGCAGTAGGCAATTTCATGATGACACTATTTTATGAAGATTTTGTTGATAACACTCAGAAGTAATTAATTAATCATTAGTGAGTTTTGCAATGACATTTTTGATCAGTACTTAGTATATTTGAACAAGGACATTGATTTTTTGTTTCTTTTGATCAAAGATCTCATCATATTACGTTTAACATTTTTTATCCGCTAAATAATACAAATATTTTTTTATTACATATTTGTCACTGCATTTATATATTGGTTATATCATAATTGATATTTTTAAGTAATGAGTATCTAATTTCAATTTCGAAAGCGAAAGCGAGTATAGGTCTATATTTCTGCTCAATTATAATTAATTCTAACATAATAATTTTACAGTTTTATAGTAAATCTAATTAATCTTCAGAATAGAAAAAAACTACATAGTTGGTATTGGTATCTTGAAGCAAGTTACATGAACTTCCCGATAAGTGTAAATAATCGACTTAATTTATGATAAATCAATTAATTTGTGAGTGATTAAAAGTATTCTGAGTAGATTTATTACACATAAATGAAAACGAACGAACACGCTAACTCAGAGTTTTTTTCTAAAAGCAAATTTTCAAAAAGCAATAATTTTTATAATTGAACCAGTTTCCGTAGGACTTTAATGGTTTATGTTCATTAAGACCAAGTACTCTATCGTTATACCAAGTAAATCGTTTAATTTTAATTTTAGCAAACATCAAAAAACTACTCATTTTTTATATTTTTATGATTTTTTAAAGTAAAACTACTTGTCGTGAGGCCGTTATATTTCAGTAAGTTCAACATGTTTTATAAAAATCAGCTTATTTTTTTTTCAACAGTTAATTACAAGAAAACGGCTCGAAAGATTTTCACCTGAAACTATTCAGTATCATTTCTAACTAATTTCTTTCGAACAGTTTAAGATTTTTTTAAATCGATTCGGTAGTATGAGCTTAAATGTGGACAAAAAGTTTAAGACTTTTTTTTCAAATTACAAAGAAACGGCTTGGCCAATCGTCACACAAAACTGACAAACAATAGCACTCCTTCCCTTCTTCGGGAAGTTAATAAAATATATTCATAAATTTTCACCAACCTTTATTTTTATCCGCTCCTGTTTTGTCATTATTTCCATTATTTATAACTGATGCTGGCTCGACAACTACCACTGGTGATGGAATTTCTAGTTTTTCTTGAAATGCTTCGAAATCTCCTGCATATGGCAGGATTAGTGGTATGTCTGCATAAGGAATTAGAGATTGCGAATTTTCGGCTATATCCGAAATTATCGGTTGATTTAGGTATATAGTTTGGGGCACTTCGTAGTTTATCTGAAAATAGATAAATTATAATAGAAATAGACGTATATTATATTATAATAAACGTTTAACACCTTAATAAAAAACACATTATTTTTCAAAGATTTGAAAATTTTGGTAAACTCAAAATATTTTGGAAAATTGTCTGACACCAGAATGCTTAAATGCAATTTTATTTATCAAGTATCACCATTGAATAGAACCGAAAGTTTTAGCATGTTACCAAGAGACATAGTGTAAGACAACACTATTATCTTTATCGATTCATCTTTAAATTAGGAATGGTATATATTTTATAAAATTCTATATATTTTTCTTAAATATTATTTATTACCTGATCTTCCAACACTTGCTCTTGAGTGTATAATGGAACAACATTGCCATCGAAGATTCCCTCCAGGAGTGGCGCAGGCGCCGGGTGAATTTCCCAAATCAGGCCAGCCTGAGATGTCGGATATACCGGTTGATTTTGCATTTGCTGTAGTTGTCCATCATAGATTCCAAGTTGAACATGTGTTTGAACATTTAAAGATTGGTTTTCGTCATTTTTTCGCGGTTGGAAATTTGGGGCATATTGTTGCCCATACGAAGATTGCTTAAATATGGTTAATTCCTTTTCGGTGTTTTTGATCTCAATTTGAGTAGAATTTTTTGATGTGGTACTATTTGTTGTTTCAGTTATATTTGAGTCTATAATTAAAACACAGATTGTGGATTCTAAATCTCTCAGAAAACTATTAATTTAGGGACCGATTCTGCCGCATAACTGACAATATTATGGCAAGGCAATTTTATGAAGAACTTTCCATACAAATTTGTTCTAAATATTGACAAAAGCTATGTTGTTGCTGTGCAGTCAGGCGTTTTTCTCTGGTTAACATAGAAATCCTAACCTAAACCGCACATTTGTTAAAAAAACGATCTCAGAAAACAGGGTATTTCTGATCTAGCTTCATAACATACAAGTGACCGTGCAGTTTACGTGTAAAACGCCTGAATGCACAGCAAATACATGACCTTTTGACAGTATTCAGTATGATTCAGTAGCATAATATATGAGGAGCATAAAATTGCCTTGCCATAACATGGATCTCTTGTGCGGCAGAATCGGTCCCTTACTTTTAATTTTTCTTACCTATTTTAAAAGTTTCATTTAAAATTTGACTTATAGTATCCTGAATAGTGGGTATATCATCGGCATCACATGTTCCAGAATATTTTGTATAAATGTCAAAATCTGGATTTGTAATTGCTTGCAAATCGGATAACTTTATTATAATCCTCGATAGTTCACATGTAACATTGCCAGAAGGACTGATTCTGTGATGAAGAAGCCAATATTAAAATAATAATAAATTGATATTATTCATGTTGGAATAACAATATTATATACTCGTACTACATTATTAATAATAAATGCTATAAATTAAATTTTAGTTACATTTTTTAAATTGGTGGCACTTCATAAATATACTTTATTAACAACTAGATGACCCGACAGACGTTGTCCTGTACCCATGTCTCCATTTTTTTATTATAATATACTAATATTTACCGTTTACCTAAAATTAATATTATTGTTTTTTAAATTACTCTTCACGCCAAAATGCATATACATTTATAATATGAGCGATGTTAAATGTAAAGCTGCTTTAAAAAATGACATGTCGTTTTTTGCAATTTTTTCCATTTATTTGTACAATATTGCACATACATCCAAGTAATTTATAATCACATACATCCTAGAAAATTTCCTTAACAAACTTCAGAAAGATTTATCAAAATCCGAATAACCGCTTAGAAGAAGTATACAGTGAGTGCTTGTAATTTAATATGAACATTATATAATAGCCATAGAGCTCAAATTGATTCTACGTTTTAGTTAGAAAACATTTGTATGTGAAAAAGAATAAAGCTGTTTTTAGGATTTTCACGGCAATTATTCGCCGTAAGAACAATTCTTGGACTTCAACGAACATTTAAAAAAAAATTCTGCCAAATTGGTCCAGGCGTTGTTGAGTTATGCGCTTACCAACACAATTTGTGATTCATTTTTATATATAAGATATATTTCAAAAACATGTTCTACTTTGCATTCTGCAATTGAAATACTTTAATATTAATTTCATATGATATTCTAACTTTTCTTTTTTATTTACCCAATGCTAAATCCTCCACATCGCATTCCTTGTTTAGAGCATGCTCGTTTGCAATCACTTAAGCTTTTGCTGGGTTTTGCAGGCTTGTAGGAAGAACCTGGTTGAAGTCTGGATCCAACCACTATACGTTTATAGCAATCTGGAAATTAATATACCAATTATACTCATAATTATGTTAATATAATTGAACATTCAAAAATAATGCTAAAACCTGCTAAATCCTTTGTTTTGTAAATATAAATTATTTAGTTTTTTAACGTTTAGACTTGAGTAACTCACCAATTGGAGTATCCTCTGTTCTATTGGGTAACGTAATGGCGTTACTCAATTGTAAAATGATAGTTAGCACTAAACTTATTATAACACATTCATGTTTTAAATCCATTTTTAATTCTACACTATAATAAGAAGTACATAAGCGAAAAGAAAAATCCCACTAGTTATTTATGAATCTGTATCACTTTCTTCACATTCTGCACCAGTTCATTTAAAAGCAAATGAAATTTTTTATTAATTACTATTGATCAATATTTAAAATTCATTTTAGAAAAAACCAACTGGTTTATAATCAATTCATTTAAACACCAAATTGTACTATGTCTCTATTTTCAAACTGATGTCACCAAAATCAGCATTCGATTGACTAACGGCTAATATAATTTTTGCGAACATTGCCTCCGGTGATAGGCCATTGGTCTTCGGTCTTACCTACGCACTTCGAACCGTTTTAGGTAATTGACTAACAATAGAATGCCCTCGGGCTAAACAAGCAGTTTTATAGAAACAAAAGATACAAGACATTTTGAGGTGACAATGATGACCGGATATCGTAAGACTTATCGAATAATTATAAAGGTGGAGCTAGAGAAACAAATTTTGTGTTTTTTTATCAAAACAAATTGATTTTTACATTCATGCTTAAAAATTTATGATTAAAAATTACATTATAATATAATACAATATTATGCGGAATCATCACTTTTGCCTTCACATTATACTAGGACTTCCTCTATTACACTTTCTTTTCTATTTTATTATATATGTATATTAGGGTGGTCCTCAACAGGCACATTCTTCAATTTCCTTGCTCCCAAGGTTTCAAATGGTTCCAAATTGATAAAAAACAATTCTCTGAAAATTTCTTAATAATGTCTTTTAGATAGAATGCAATTCAAAGTTTTGTATGGAAATAGCATGAAAAAAAATCAAAAATTTTGCAGAGCGTCAAATTTTCAATAAAAAATAACACAATTTTTCACTTTTAATTCATTAGTCGCTAAGTTATACCTAAAAAAAATTTTTTTTTAATTTTCAAAAAATTTTCTATGCTATTTCGATACGAAGTTTGATTGAATTGCGCTCTATCTAAAAGTGAATATTAAAAGCTAAAACTTTCATTGTTTTTTATCAATTTGGAACCGTTTGAGCCCTTGGGAGCAAGGAAATTCGAAAATGTCCATATTAAGGACCACCTTGATGTATATATATATATATATATATATATATATATATAATAACATAGAGTATATAGTAACATATAGTATTTAGTATATAGTGTGCTGGTGATGATTCCATACTACCACTTATGTTCATCATTTTTTTTAATGAACCTCCTGGACAAAAGTGCATTCATAAGTACAAAATCATATTGCAATATTTTAATTCGTATTAATAATTATCTTTGTGAAATTGTGAAATTTGCTGAACTTATTGCATAAGATAAAACAGTCATTCTTTTTTATTTGGTTAGTACAGGTAGAGAAGACCAATTACATTAGTTGAATTTTTTATTATTGGTTTTTAAAATTCTTCAGGATTAAAATTCTTTATCAATATCACCAGCGCTTCAATTATTTCGATGTATCGCGAAATGAAGAATTGGGACATTCTCCTATTATATCACAATAAACAGACAACTTCCAAGGTTGTTCTTTTCGTTTATGCATTTCGAAATCTGATGCTGCACCTAATCATTCATCAAATAACAAACAATTTCGCTTTATTTTTTTTGTGAACGAGATCAAAAAATGTTGTTTTAATTATGGTTCTATTGTTTCCATCTGTTGACTACCTGCATTCCAGTTTTCCAGCACGGACTGAAACCGTATTTGTAGACATGAATGCACATGTAGATCTTATATAATTTTTGCATTTGTCTAATAATAATAATTATTATAAAATAGATTTCAAAATCTGCTGAATTAATTTTTTATGTCACTGTCATACTTGTCTTTTGAGAAAAGTTTCTGCTATATCTGCCTTATTAGTTATTATAACTCTTTTTTCTGAAGTAAAACTTCTTTAGGCGCGACTAGGGTGTAAATTCGTACAAATGCAACGGAAGTCCGTTACGCCCGAACTGTTCGTCATTCGCTCTCGATGAGATCATTTCTATACGGGTCGATTGTGATTTGTCGTCGTGTATGTGAACAGAGATTTGTCGTTGTTTGCGTACCGATGTCAACAAGGAAATCGGCGTAGATAAACATTTTAAAATTACATCGTAGTACAAATCTTGATTTAATGAAAAAGGCCTGAATCAGAAGAATATTTTACCCTGTTCCTTGAAAATAATAAAACAAATTAAAATTTGTGCCGTATTGTTTAGAAATTATTTCTATATTATTCGTAGTTTCTATAAATCTTTGAAGTTATTAAAATAGAAAATACTTTTCAGACAAGACAGATATTACAGCTGTTCAAAGAATGAGATTATATCGCCAGTGAAAAAGTAAAAATATAGAAGCAGTCGATGAATGTATGTTAATTTCAATTACATGAAGTTCTCCAAACACAATTTCATGATGAGTAAAGTTGCAAAAATAATATTTGTTTAGGCGTTGTTTAACATAATCCACTGTGTGAATGAATATCATAGAATTTATTAATTAGCAATTACTTCATTTCTCTCATGAAGGTTAATTTCTAAATGCTAATTACAATGACAAACCGATCATGTCATATTTTCTATAAATTATATAATTTTTATAAGGGAGATTTTTCATAAGTTAAACTAAAAACATTGCACCAAACTATTTTTTATTAAATTATCGAAAGTTCCTCGACTAAATGAACATGTTATCATTATGTGATATTTCATTCTGCCCTCCATATATCATTTATTACGTTGATTGCGTGGTAGCGTTGCGCCGTGTAGTTACAATGAAGTGAGTGCATGTTAAAAGACTAATTTATAATTCCAGCCATTCATATACTACATGTGGGTTATCACAGATTACTGATTATGAACGGATTTGCATAAGAAACTTTTAATTGCGCTGCTAAATATTTCATTTTAGAAAAATTAAATATGTAGAGCTTTAATATTCTACTTCACGGGAATTTACAGTTTGACCATTCATAGAAGTTACAGTTTTCAATATTTTTGTATTTTCGATCAAAAATGCAATGCAAATGTTGATCATTATATAATGTGTTAAATTGATTGGTTATATTGTATATTTAAAAATCCAATAATTATTCTAAGACTGTAAGAATTCTAATCTGATTCAAATTGAATAACTGCAGAAAAAAATCGATTTGTTCCGTATATACTAAGTATATACATAACATATACATATTATCTCTATATTATAACTAACATTGAGTAAAAAAGCTCTAATAACAATTATATCATTTAATAATTTTATGTAAGTATTAATCTCACATTATTATTATGTTTTTTAAATAATTCGAAACATACTTTTTCTTTGACACTTTATATCGCACAATTCCGCAATGCATCGATAAATGCTTGTAGATTCTAGTTACAACAAAATTTTAAAATTTAGTTGTTTTATTACAGAAATATAATAGAATAACTATATGAAATGTAATAAAATCCATTATATTATTAATAAAATATAAATTAAATGTTTAGTATAAATTATTGATTTAATCTCTTTCATATAATTTGTAATTAAGAAAAAATGGTTTAAACTGATTTCTATATATAAGACCGCGTTGAAATATTGAAATTACACAAAGAACTTATTACTCGCAAAAATAATTCTGCATTACGTGAACTGTTAAACTTTTAAATATGTTAATGAATTCCATCGATCAAATCACCATGTTGCCCACGCTGGAGCTTTTATGTAAAGCTTGGTTTGCAGTAGTTCTTTCATTTTTATATAGTTGTTATGAATCCTCGTTTCAAACACAAATATTTTTTAAATACAAATCTACCCAATATTAAAAAAGCATCATTTATACATTTATAACGATACATACTGATATCCGCGATCCCAAAAGCAAATCTCCATAATTATCGCTCAGCAATAGTTATTATTTCAATTTACTTTCATCCATTAAAATTGTCATTGACTTATGTAAATCAGTAAATTAAATAACAAATTATTTTTTTTTTCTAAAAAACTTCAAATATTGAGCTCCTTGCATAATTGAGAACAATAGAAAAAACATGCGAGGAGTTTGATGAAATTAGATCATATTGAAAAGAATTGACATCAAAAATACTTCTATTTATACATACTATTATTTCAGTTATACACATCTACACCCGATCACTTTTTTCTTGTTACTTAATATTAAGTTCTTCAATACAAACTAATCAGTGCAAATTTTATCAGATTTTTTTTATTTTGATCTGTTGATCCATTGATGTTTAGAGAGTAATTGTATCGTTTAAGAAGTTCTGGTAGTGTATATTTTTAAGAATTATTTTAAAAAAATATTTGAATTTTTATTTTGCATTTGATGATTATTACGTATATTATTATTAGATTGCTGATAGTTTTGTATAATAAGGATGTATGTAAGCGCTATAAAGCCGTTGCTAATGAAAGGTTTTGCTAATAAAATTTGGATTTATTTATTCAGTTAGTTATAGAAATGTCCTGTTTTTTAAAATGCCATCATGTAGAACTAGCTATTCAGTAATCTTTTAACATTTTTTAGCTATTATGTTCATACCTATATATCCTGCATGCAGAAACGCGATTACTGCATCCGCACGAGGTCGCCTCGAATAATCACGCGACGGACCTAACGATTAAACACATTCAACGTCAACTAAACAACTAATTTGCATTTTCTGCAATATCCCATGTAAAAAAATCTAAATGTATTCAGTGAACGAATATTTAATAAAGTCCATAATTTTAATGACCATTAAATACACAACATATGCCATCAATATAAACTATAAATCTAATCTTGTGAACCACTTATTCAGCCCATGTAACTGAAGACTAATAATGTTATGTTACATGCGTAATGACTTATGGAAATACTCTAATAATAAACACACTTATTTATGCAAACTGAAAACCATATTTTTTCTTATATCTAAAAAACATCAAGTGTGCCGAAAGTAATGAATTATTTTGATTAATTTACTAAATCCGAAATTTATATTTATTA